GGGGGGTCTGCGGCTTGCCTGCTCCTGTGCCTGGTCCTGCTCCTCCAGCACCCCATGACCCCACCCCACCAAAGCCCCCTTCCACAACAGCATCCCTTTCCCTCCTTGGACCTTCCTCTCCCCCAGCCCCCCCAGCTCCCCAGCCCCTCTCTCCCCCTGGCCCTCCTCTCCCCCAGGCTTCCACGTCCCAAGAGCCCCCCAGCAGCCAGCCAACCGACAGGTGCATCACCCGATCCCGTAGCCGGGGAGCACCCCAAACACGAGGCCCAGCCAGGAAAGGGAAATCTGCCAAGCCCCGTTCAACCTGATCCCCTTCCCCCCTCCAGGTTTCCAGTCCCCTTCCCCCCTCCAGGTTTCAATCACCCCCATCACCCCAGTTAAAGCACAAACAAAGGGTTAAAGGCACTGTTTGTTTATTGTATATAGTTTGGCAACAACAAAAATGAAGAAAATTTTTGTTATTTTGCCACATTGTTTGATTATATGTACAAAATTATAAATAAGTAAAGAGAACATTTTATTTTGAAACACACCCTGGTGTAAGTGATGTGTCCAAACTGGGTCAGGAGATGGGTTGTGGAGGGAAGCTTCTATTGGGGGCCAGGGCCCAGTCCCCAGGCAGAAGCCCCTCAGTGCACTCAGTGGCCTCCACTGGAGAATTGCTCCCGGAGGGCCTCCCGGATGCCAACTGCAGACCGGTGAGCCTGGCGGATGGCAGCTGTCCGGGGCTGGGCAAAGAGCCTCTCCTGGGCATCAGCAGCTCTCCCCCACCCTGGTAGGAAGGCCTCCCCTTTCCTCTCCACGAGGTTATGGAGGACGCAACACGCGGCCACCACCTCGGGGATGTTGGTCTCCCCCATGTCGAGGCGTGTGAGCAAGCACCGGAATCTGCCCTTTAAACGGCCAAACGCACATTCCACCTGGTTGCGAGCCCGGTTAAGGCGAGCATTAAACTGCTCCTTGCTCGCATCCAGCTGTCCGGTGTAGGGCTTCATCAGCCACGGCATCAGGGGATAGGCGGCATCAGCCACTATGCACACCGGCATGTGCACATCCCCAACCGCAAACTGGCGATGGGGGAAAAATGTTCCTGCCTGAAGCCTCCGGTAGAGGTACGAGTTTCTGAAGATGCGGGCATCGTGTGCCCGCCCTGACCACCCAACACAAATGTCTGAAAACTGGCCACGATGGTCGACCAGGGCCTGGAGGACCATAGAAAAGTAGCCCTTTCTATTGATGAATTGGGTTGCTCGATGGGGCAGTGCACGGATGGCAATGTGTGTCCCATCGAGCGCTCCTCCGCAATTGGGGAAGCCGAGGGCAGCAAAGCCGGCCATGATGCTGTCCAGATCCGGTAGACAGATGAGCCTGTTGAGCAGCTCCGAATTGATGGCCCTCACCACCTGCAGAACGAGACAGACAACAAAGTGTTAGAAGGGGTGCCTTATGTCTTAGGAGGAGAACCCACCGCCCACCTTCCCTTCAAACACCCCGGGAATCCCCTCCTCAGAACCCCCCCCCAACAATTCAGGGTGAGTGGAGGAGCTCCCTCCCACTCCCACTCCACTTGGCCCTTCCTGACAGTCTCCCTTCCCCCCACCCCAAACTGTGACTGTCCCCAGACAATGACTTACCTCCATCAAGACGGCCCCGACAGTAGATCTCCCCACGCCAAATTGGTGTCCCACGGAGCGGTAGCTGTCGGGGGTTGCCAGCTTCCAGAGGGCAATGGCGACCCTCTTTTCCAGGGGGATGGCGGGCCGCAGGTGGATGTCTTGCCGTTGCAGAGCAGGGGCGAGCCAGGTACAGAGCTCCTGGAAAGTGGTCTTTCTCATGCGGAAGTTCCGTAGCCAGTCTTGGTCATCCCAGATCTCCATCACGAGCCGGTCCCACCAGTCAGAGCTGGTGTCAAACCTCCAAACACGCCTGTCCACGAAAAAGTTTGGAGGCAAGGGCAGTGCGGCTGCTTGACGGAGGAACCCCTCGTCCCTCTGGTCTGGGTCCAGCTCGGGAAGGAGCCTCATGATTGTCTCACGAAGATGCAGCAACAGCTGCAGTATGGTGGTGTGGGGCCATCGCCTGCCCAGGGGCAGCTCTGGCTCCATGCCAAAAATAAGGGTCTGCAAGCAGAAAAACCTCACAAGAAAAAAGCTGCTGGGGTGTCCCAGGAAGCTGAGCACTCCAAAGCAGCACTGCAATGCCTTGCAAAATTCCTCAAGGGACAGCAAAGGCAGCTGCAGGAGCAGAGCAACGGGTGTTCAGGAGTGTCCCTCTCACCACGCGTCTCTGCAAAGGGCAGGCAGGCAGCACCCGGAAGGAAATGCTGCCCCCATGCCCTGGCAGAAGCAGTTCCGGGTGGCTTTGAATTTCGAAAGAGCGTCCGGCAGTCTGGACGCTCTTTTTCGAAATAGCGGATCGATCTTTCGATCCGTGCATTGTAGTCTAGACGCGCTCTTTCGAAAGAAGCCTGCAGTCTAGACACAGCCGTAGTCTAAACACAGCCTGAGAGTTTACAAGCCAAAGGAAAAAAGACAGACAGAAAGATGCAGAAATGAAACATGTTCAGCCCCCTTTTATAAAGCGGAACTGAAGCACAGAGAGAATAAACAACTCCAATGGGAAACAAACCTTGAGGTCAGCTCCTGAGGGCCACCCTTCCTCCCACTTCTTTGGCTTCCATAATTAAGATATCGGGGCTCATTCCGTTTCTGACATGATAAGCTATCTTTTCAATATTCATTTCTGCTGCAGGCAGTCAACTTTACTTCATTTTTTATCAAACCGTTTTGTTTTTTTTCAAAACAGGCCACTAACCTTCAGTTGCTTAGATGGTCAACACAGGAAATGTATCTGGCTTTTGAAACCTTAAGATGCTGGTGGGGGTTTTAACAAACTTTAAAAATACTGATGAGACTAGAGATGTCCCCCTCCACTTTGAATCAATCAGCTCTTTGCATCCAGCTTAGCTTGGCTTCTGTTCTTTTCTCGTGATTAGATTTCAGCAGAATGAAACAAGTAAAACACTGGTCTAAAACTCCCACCCCAGTATCAAACCACACTCATTAAGAAAACAGAAAGAAAACAGAAGACCAAGTTACTTCCTAGGAGTGAGACCCCAGCTCAGAAAGCATTTTCTTCAATTATTATGTCCATTATTTCTATTTGTAAATGAAAAGCCCAGCCTGAGATATTACTGGAAAAATTCAAGTTAGGCTTTTTTTTTCTGGGCTTTTTCCCCCCCTTGTGTGTTTTGTTTTTGCCATGTTAGCTGTGGAGGGGAGTGTCTTGCTTTATTAATGCTGAGCGGCTCCAGCAACGACTGTGGTTTTGTAATCTGTTAGTCATCTGCTGCTGCTGCTGCCCTTTCTACAAGTAGCTGAAGAGCCCAGAGCCAGAGCAGGCCAGCAGGGAAGGAAAAGGCAGGAAAGCGAAAGAAATAATACAGGTGTGTGGGGAGGGGGATACAGGCCTACTGTTTTTTTCCAAGTGCCTGGTGTGTGAGGGGGGAGAAGTAGTGTGAGTACTAGTGGGGGAGAAGGAGACTTTCTGGATACTCATGAGGGGTGACCCCTGAATACTAATGAGAGGCTGTGCAAATGCTCCTGAATAGTAGTGACTGGAGGGTGAGGAAGAGACACTGGCTCCCCCCCCCCCCCCCCTGTTACCACTGAGGGGTGGATATGTGTATGAGAGAACTTTCCTGGGCTCCAAAAAGGGCATGGGGGTGAGAGATATGTTCCCTGTACTGCAGGGTGAGTGTGTGAGTTTCTTTCTGGCCCCCAGAATGAAAAGCAGATGTGCAACTCTCTCCCGGAGTGTTGGGGGGAGGGTTGTCCCTGAATACTCCTCCTGAGTTACAGTTCATTTGTTCTTTCTTCTTTTCTCTAGGATGAGGGGTCACCGGCAGGTGTTTCCTTCTCTATTCTTTTCCCTTCTCTTCCTCATGCTTCCAATGAAAGAAATCTCAACCTCGCCTCTCTCGGTTAGAGCCCAACCAGCTATGGTCTCTGGTGGGCACCACAGTGGACACACCTGTCTCGGTACGTATTCAGGTTTTGTTTGCTTGCTTTGTTCATTCATTTGTTATTACACAGGTAAACAGAGGCTAGCTGTGTACATAATAAATCATCCTTTATCTGTTTCAACAGCTGCTGCTGTTGCTGCAAAACACCAGTAATCTTAGCCCAAATAATAACTGTTCTAAGACTCTAATGTCTTAACAAGGGGTTTGGAGCTTTTCTGATTTAATTTTGAAGCTGCTGTTTGATAGAATTTGTACCTTTGGTCTACAGGAAGGATTAGTGACTTTCACACGTTAGTAGCTAGAGAACCAAAACCAGGATGCAATTGTTTCTAATATTTATTTCCCTTCCCTCTCCCAAAACACCCTCAAAAGAAAAAAGTTTCATCTTAATGGCTTTTTCCTGGCAACATTTTCTTAAGAAGTACAGCTAAGTTTGGGACACAGAGCTTCATGAGCACTTCTTTGGGTTTGGCAATATGTTCCCAGTATTCATGATGAAATTCATCTAATGCAAACGGCCTGAGCAAGGCTTTTAGCACCACATGGGCATTTGCCTGCTGTGGAGGATGTGTCTGCTCTGGTCTGAAAGGCCAGCACAGAGGAAAGCCTTGGGAAATGTTAGGGAAGAAGTCTTGAAATCCATGCTGCCTGTACAAGTGGCATGAAGAGTTGCAGCTGCTCTTACGACTTGCAGGCTGCACTAATAGCCATGAAAGTTGAGATGTGGTTTAAATGCACACATTGAAGGGACACGCACATCACCAAATATTAGATGGTTTGGACTTTATGGGGGGGATGGGTGATGACAAATACACTTTGTCAATTTAGTCCCAAGGCATAGGGAATCTGATAAAAGTACTAAATGTCAGCGTCATCTCTGAGCATTTCTGGCATCTGTGGTTGAAGTGCAGCAGACAGGAGAATCAACCAAGGTACTGAGTGAAGCTTTTCTTTTTTTATTTTTAATTGACATATATTTACAAAACAAACATCCTTTTGCTTTATGATTAGACAGATTTTGTTTGACACCTTTTTGTCCCTCTATAGTGAATTCAATTTTCGCTTAATTAGTTCCCATATGATTCACACAACAGTTTTCCTACTGTTTATACCAATTTTGTTATGTTTCTGTGTGTACAAGAAATACTCCTTAATGTTGATTCTAAAATTAATTTATGATTAGGGAAGTGAGAATAAATTTAGGCTTTGTAAAAACAAGTTTTTGCAAAACTTAAGATGCATAGAAAATGTTCCTATGAATTAAAAATGTCTAATAGGAACACTTGTTTTTCAACAAATAAATGTGGCCCTGCCATGTCTGCAACCCAACAACTGAAGCATGGAGAACCTGAAAGTGAAACTGACTGTAATCAAAGCAAAATGGTATTAATTTATATTTATTTTTCAAGAAGACAGCAGTGCAAATAATAAACTAACAATTTAAACATTGAAAAATAAATTGTATTTTTAAAATTCTTTGTTTTAATGATTGACACTGTTAACATGAGTTTATTTGTTACATACAATATGTGATTTTGTAAAAAAAAAATTGTGTTCCTTTAAATTTTGCATAAGGCCATTATGTATCTTATCTATCTCTGATTATCACACCCATCACCATGGAAACATTGGAATCCTATCTGGTGCACTGGAAAACAAGGGAAGTAAATTCTACACCCATCCCATCTCCATCATGGCTGACCCACCATTTAATATCTATTCACTTTGAAGATACTGTGAAAACTCTGCCCCTGCACTTTGTCTATGGAGGGATAAAATCCAGAGCATTGTTCTTGATGGAGAGAAAATCTCTAACAGTGCTTAACCATCTACGTGATGCCAGAATTTAACTCATGACTAGGACCTTACCAAATTCAAGCTCATGAAAACCATGTCATGGACTGTAAAATCTGATCTCCCCTGTGAAATCTGGTCTTTTATGTGCTCTGGCCATGTACTATGCAGATTTCATGGGGGAGACCAGTGTTTCTCAAATTGGGGGTCCTGACCCAAAAGAGGAGTTTCGGGGGGGACATAAGGTTATTTTCGGGGGTTGCCACCCTTATTTCTGTGCTGCCTTCAGAGCTGGGTGGCTGGCAAGCAACAGCTGTTGGCTGGGTACTTACCCAGCTCTGGGAGGTAGTGCCCCACCAGCAACAGTGCAGAAGGAAGGCAATACCCTTACTTCTGTGCTGCTGCCTTCAGAGCTGAGCAGCTGGAGAGCAGTGGCTGCTGAGTCAAAGCCCAGCTCTGAAGGTGGCAGAGCAGAACTAAGGTGGAAATAGCATGCCATGCCATCCGCACTTCTGTGTTGCTCTGTGTTTCCAGCTCTGAAAGCTCTGAAAGCATTGCCTTCACCACCAGCAGCAGCCCACAAGCAGGGGTAGCAACACCACAATCCACCCTACGATAACCTTACAACCCTCCTACAACTCTTTTTTTGGGTCAGGACCCCTATAATTACAAGACTGTGAAATTTTATATTTAAAGGGCTAGCATCATGAAATGTTATGATTTTTAAAATCCTATGATCGTAAAATTGGCCAGCATGGACTATGAATTTGGTAGGGCTCTACTTGTGACCAAAACAGATTAGTATGCCTCTGAAAACTCTACAAGCTAAATGTGTGCTGTTCAAGATCAATAAATAGGCAAGTGCAGGGGCCCAGCAGAAGAGCTTTGTAATGTCAGACCTGCACAACCATTCATTATCCCAGACTGCAGTGCTTGTAGTTTAACTTCTCAGTTCCTGCTTTCTGTACTCAGTTTGAAAACAATGACAAGTCCGTTGTGTTTCTTCCCTTTAATAAACAGAGTGTGGAGGATCTGATTCTGACACTGGTATAGAGCAGGAATAACTTCACATAAGTGCCTGGTGTTAAACTGTTGTGAGAGATCAGTCCCTCAATGAAACTAACCTGCTTAAAAGCAAGGGAAGCAAAAGTTCCATTTTTCTTTTTAGAGAGAGGTGTGGACATAATTTCTGACTCTTAGCTGCCCCAAGCCACAGACTTTATTAACTGAATTTCTGTTTTGGCCAGGAGTGAGAGAGATTGAAAAATCATTCAGGACTCTGCTTTTCATATATGTGGGCATAAGATGAAGCAGTATTTTAACAGGAAACGGCAAATTCTCTTGTGAAAATGCCGGCTGTGAAATATATGTGGAGATTTTCTTTGACTTTCAGAGAGGTTAAGTGTCCAACTGGTGGCTAACTTTCAATTAGAGTTACATCATTTGTATAAGTGAATTGGGCAATTGCTCATGTGCATGGACAGTTCAGTTCACTTGTGTGTGCAAATTACCTGATTTGCATGTGTAATCATGGTAATAAGTGGGAGGGGTGATTGTTGAATTTTTCCACTAAACAGTTTGAAAATTAAAATATTATTCTTGGGGAATGCTGCTGCGGTGCCCCTTGGGAGTTGTAATTTGGGTATTTCATACTTCTGTTCTGCTCTGTAGTCCAGATTCGGAGGTCAGATTATATCTCCCATGATGCTGTATACTCTTCCCTCATGGTGTGGGAAATCTCTCTGGCCACAGTGCATCATGGGAGACACAGTTTGCCTCAGTAGCCAATAGTGCGGGATGGAGGCAGAGGAAACCAAGATAGAACTCCCTGGAAGAACCAAGACAGGATATTGAGATCAGTATTTTGGGTTTTAGTCAAAATATTTCTGTTGTCAAGTGTCTGGTTGTTAAGTTAAAATCAAAGTTTTCTGCAGAGTACAGGCACTTTTCACAAAACAAATAATTATGCTAAAAACTGAATTTTCCATCAACAATCAGTTTTGACAGTTAACTTCCATCCAGTCCTAATAATAGAACAAAAATAATGCATATAAGCGTGCGCAGAGTTTACACATGTAATCACATGCCAGACTAGTTTGAAAACTTCTGTTCTGCAAGCTGCAGAACACTTGTTGTGAAGAGCCTTATTATGAAAATGAAAATTATCTTCACAATTTCAGTGTAGCCCTTTGTGAAAGGGGACTTTAATAATGCTGTTTTAAAAACAATAAAGACATTTAGAAACAATTTAGGAACTCCCTCTGATGGTCTTTGTGTTGTGGGTGTGATATTCTCCTTTATCATTTTTATATGGGAGATAAAGAAGAGTTTAAATTTCTGACCTTTTTATATATTCAAAAAGCCATTACTGCTATAGGGAAACGTCTGCTTTTCCCTAGAGAGGCCTAGATCTAGTGCTCTCCATGCAATACAGGTAACTGAATTCTGAATCTGGCTTTGCCACTAACTTGCTGTGTGACCTTAGAAAGCCAGTTACAAGCAGATTTGTAAACCCTTATTAACATTCATGTTCACCTTCTGTTAAGAGTAGCACTCTGCTTTCAATGAGGCAACTTTTCAAGCAAGTTGCTACACACATAACTACGCTGAAAAAGGTCCAAGAGTGTGGCCTTTAACTTCTTATGTCTCCATTTCCCCATCTGCAAAACAAGCAAAATATTGCCCATTTCACGAGGCTGTGGTGAGAATTAAGTAGTTATTATTGACCAAACCCAGTTTGAATGCTAGGAATTGTTGGTCACGTCTAACATTACATTCTCTCTCTCATCATGTCTTCTTTTGCTTCTCTAGTGAATATTTTTTCATTGCTAATGATTTTTACAATAAGCATCTGTTCTCTTCTCTGTTGACCGAGAGTGCAGTAGGGAATCTGCGCAAATGATCAGTGGAGTCTCCGTGATGGTACAGCTTTGTTTTGCCGTTGCAGGGCACCTCTTGCTAATTGCGCATTTTATTTTGTTTTTAAACTGCAGCCTGCACAGCCCCCCTTTGCTGCTTCACTTTGGGGGCCCTTTGGAATGAGAGAGGACAGTACGTTTGGGCAGCAGCTTTTTTAATTGTCTTCTCCTGCTGACTGCTGTTGCATGGGTCATCTTCAGGCCAATTTCATCTTCCCTCGGGCCAATGGAATCCTGTATCACTTGCCCTGTAGCAATTGCCCTGAACCATCCCTCACCTGTGAAAATCTAACTTCTTCAGAGC